CTCACTTGGTAGCCCAGGCTGGCCTCGAACTCACAGAGATCCGCCTGGCTCTGCCTCCCAAGTGCTGGGATTAAAGGCGTGCGCCACCACCGCCCGGCTCATTAATAGTTCTTAAAATTAATGTTAATGGCATTAAATCTTTATTAAAGAGACACAGATTATCAGATTAGATTAGAAAATAGGATCCATCTTTTTGTTATATCTAAGAAACACATCATCAAAAATAGACACCACCTTAAAAGAATGGGAAAAAAGGTATTCCATACAAACAGAACTAAGAAATAAGCAGGTACACCAAATCTAATACCTGACAAAATAGACTTCAAACCAAAACTATCCGAAGAGATAAGGAAAGCCACTTCATACTCATCAAATAAACAATCCACCAAGAGGACATTGTAATTCTAAGCATATATGAAACAAACACTGGTTCATACAATCTAATAAAAGACATAAGACATCCTACGAGATCTAAAACCATAAATTAACTCCAACACAGTGGTCATGGGTGACTTCAGTACCCCACACTCATCAATAGATAGTTCATCTGGATAAAAACTAAACAGAGAAACAGTCCAATTAAATAGTATCATACACCAAATGGACTTGTCATCTACAGAACATCGCACCAAAACACTAAAGAATATACATTTTTTCTCAGCAGCCCATGGGACTTTCTCCAAAATTAACCATATATTAGGACACAAAACAAGTATCAACAAATATAGCAGATTGAAATAACATCCTTCATTTAACCACAAAGGAACAAAGCTAGATATTAACAGCAAAAGAAACTACAGGAAGTAAACAATTTCATGTAGATTAAACAGCACATTACTAAGTGATAGAAAGGTCAAGAAAGGTATGAATCAGGATCTATCCCTGGTGTATGAACTGACTTTTTGGAGCCCATTATCTATGGTGGGATACCTTGCACAGCCTTGATTCAGGGAGGAGGGGCTTGGACCTGCCTCAACTGAATGATCCAGGCCTTGCTGACTCACATGGGAGGCCTTACCTTTTTGGGGGAGGAGATGGGTGGTGGGTTGGGAGTGATTCTATCAGGGAAGAGTGGGAAGAGGAAGGAGAGGGGGCTCTGTGGTTGGTATGTAAAATGAATAAAAAATTTCTTAATAAAGAAAAAACAAAAAAGAGAAAGATGTCAAGAATGAAAATTTATAATTCCTAAAATTAAATGTGTAAAATAAGAACATACCATACCAAAATCTATGATACACAATGAAGGCAGTCCAAAAAGGAATTTTTATATTGCTAAGTGCTTACATAAAAAAATTAGATTTGTCAAAAATTTAATGATACTCATGAAGGTCTTGGAAAAACAAAAACACACAACACTCAGAAAGAGTAAATGGAAGGAGATATCAAAATGATCTGAAATTAATGAAATAGAAATGGAAAAATACAAATAATCAACAAAATAAAGAGTTTGTCTTTTAAAAGATTAACAAGATTGACAAACCTTTAGTCAAATTAACCAAAAAGAAAGAGAGAAGACTTAAATTCATAAAATTAGAGATGAAAAGGGGATGCATTACAACAGACACCAGGGAGGCTCAGAGAATCACAAGTACATACTTTAAAAATTTATATGCCTCTAAACTAGACAATCTAATGGATTTCTGGAGTCTAAAATTAAACTAAGATGAAGCAAATAACTTAAATAGACTATCACAACCAATGAGATAGACACAGTAATTAAAAATACCCCAGCTATGGCCAATGGGGTCTCATACACTCACAAGCATTACAAGCTTTTACCAATAGTAAGAAGCTAGTCTCCAGAACTTGACTGTAAGAGTCTCTATTGCTGAAGACACTACATACTTGAGACAAAGAACATGGAGAAATTAAAATTAAGCTGGTACTCACCTGGAAGTCTCATCACTATTGGCTAACTTTTATGGTGCTGGAAGGTGCCATGTACATGCTACCAGGGGAGAAAAGTGATCATTAGTCTCACTGAGCTGTGAGCTCCGCAAGCTGCATCTGAGCAGACAAGATAGGCCCAACTGGCCCAAGAGGGGCACAAATGTTATCTGAGTAACCAACCACTTTCTGGTTGGTTCTGAGGCCCATTCCATGAGATGGAATCCATACCTGACACTGTTCTGGGGCCAGGAACCTGTGACTATATAGGCCATAGGCCCCAGGGAAAATCCAACATTATTAATCAGCTAAATTAACACAGTATTAAAACAATTCCTAATGACTTGCTGCTACACCCATAGATCAGTACATCTCTTAAACCTTATCAGAAGCATCCTCTCTTCTTGCAGTAGATGCCAATTGACAAAGGGGCCCTCAAGTGATCAATAAGCAGAGAGCAAGAGACTATGGAGTGCTCAGCCCTACATAGGATGCACAGATCACACCGCACCACTTAAATACCAAGGATCATTGAAGGAGAGGAGACAGGAAGATGTAGGCACCAGAAGTGGTAGATAACATCAAGGAAACAGTGTTTTCCAAATACAACATGGCAGTGACACATATGATTTCACAGCAATTGTGATAGCAAGAAAAAGACCTATGCAAACTCAGTAAGATAAAATCACAATGTGGAAGAGGGAAGATGGGCATGAAATCCTACTACAGGAGCTATGGGTATATGCAGCTGTTGGGAAATATAGTCAGTTATCTTTTATAGCATGACCCTTGGTCAGTTGACCACACTCTAGGGCAGGCTCAGCCTCCACAATTGGACAACACAAACTGAAATGGATAGGGATTGGGGAAGAAAACTCAAAGTTGAATAAGAAAAGATAATAGTGTGGAGAAGGTGGGTATGAGAGGAGTTGGGTGAGGGGGTGACTATGATCAAGATGCATTAAATGGAATTCTCAATAAATTAATAAAAATTACTTAAGTCCCAACTACAAAAAAAACTCAAGACAAGATGGATTCAATGAGGGATTCTACCAATCCTTCACAGAATAACTAACACCAACATTTCTCAAAATCTTACATAAAATATAAAAGCAAAGAACAACCCTGAATTCCTTTTATGAACCAGTATTACCCTAATACCAAAATCAAAGACTCAACAAAAATAAATAAAGGCCAATTCCCTGATGAACATGGATACAAAAATTCTCAATAGAATAGTTACAATCAATTTAAGTATACATCAAAAAGATCATCCTCCATGATCAAGTGGGCTTCAGTCCAGAGGTACAGGGATGGTTTGTCATACATAAATCAATATATGTAATTCACAACACAAATAGACCCAAAGACTAAAACCAACACTCTCTCATGATAAACTTCCTTGATAATCTAGGGATAGAAGGAATATATATCACCATACTGAAGACAATCTATAGCAAAGCCATAACCAACATCATCCTAAGCAGAGAAGACTTGAAGCATTACCACTAAAATCAGGAACAAGGCAAGAGTGTCCACTCTCTATAATGTTCAGTATAGTGTTTGGAGTCTTAGCCAGAGCTGTAAAACAAGTGAAGGAGACAAAGGAAATACAAATGGGAAAGAATGAAGTTGAAGTATTCCTATTTCCAGATGATTTCATTCTATATAATAGAATATATAGACCCTAAACACTCCACCCAAAACTACTGTAGCAGATAAAAATTCAGCAAAATAGCAGGATACAAAATTAACACAAAATTAGTAATTTTCATATCTACCAATGACATATACTGAGCAAGAAATCAGGAAACCATACAATTCACAATATCCTCAAAAACATCTTGAGACACATCTAACCAAAGAAGTAAATGACTTGTACAATCAAAATTTTAAGATACCAAAGAAAGAAATTAAAAAAGATACCATAGGATGGAAAGTCCTGCATTCTCATGGATTGATAGGACTAATATTGTGAAAATGACATTCTTCCAAAAGCAATATAGAGATTCACTGAAATCCCCATTAAAATTTCAACCCAGTTCTACAAAGAAAATGAAATATATCAAAATTCATATGAAAACACAATAGGCACAGGATATAGCCCTAGCAACTCTAAACAATGGAAGACCACTGAAGGTGCCACCATCCCTGATTTCAAGTTATAACTCAGAGCTATAGTAATAAAAACAGCATGGTGCCAGCATGAAAACAGACACATGGTCAAATGGAATAGAAACAAGGATCCAGATATAATCTAATGGTCAATGTGGTCACCTGATTGTTTATAAAGAGGCAAAAAACAAAACAAAACCATATTGCAGAAAAGATAGCATCTTAAACAAATGGTGTTGATAAAGCTGGGTAGCTAAATATAGAATGAACTAGATTCCTTATCACTCACCCTGCACAAAACTCAACTCCAAATGGATCAAGGAACTTATCATAGGATCTGATAACTAAAATCTGAGAGAAAGTAAGGAATAAACTTTAACCTGAAGGCATGGGAAAAGAGTTTCTAAATAGGACCCCAGTAGTGCAGGAATTAAGATCAATTGAAAAATGGGACTTCATGAAACTGGAAAACTTCTGTACAGCAAAGGAAACTATCATTCGAGTGAAGAGCCAACCTACAGAATGGGAAAATCTTTACCAGCTATACATCTGACAGAGGGTGAACATTGCAGTCCACAAATCAAAAGTGGCTATCTTGAGTATAATAGGCCATCCAGGTTCAGACATGGCCCTTTGGAAGAAGAGCAGGAGAATCTTGATGTTTTCTCAGAGCCCATTGTCTCTTTTTTTTCATGAGTCAAGAAAGAGTCAAGGGGGGGCTGAAAGACAAGAACAGCCAAGAGGCAGGGCAATGGGGTAGGCAGAAGCGTGGTTCTTGATGTAGGAAAGATGTCAGTGGGGACCCTACTTACCAGCTTCAGGTGACACAACTTTTCTCAACTTCAGTTTCCTCATTGGTAAAGAAGGGAAAAGTGTTGGAATGTCAGGATCATGATGAATATTAAATGCAGCATAATACATCTGAAGTGCTTAGCACAGAGTCCCCAGTCACTGCTGGCAGTGATAGTTATTTCTTCAGTGCATGATTATGACCATAGAAGTTGCATAATGTGGAGTCTTGCTCAATTGCCCAGGTGACTCTCAAGTTTTGCTTTAAAATTTCTAGCAGATCAATTAAAAGAGGAAAATACAGTGAGCTAATCTATTGAAGGATAGACTTACCATCGTTAAATAAAAAGAAGCCAGTTGCCAATGATACTGGTGCTAAGACATGGAAGAATTTTGGCTCTTAGGGTCAAATAGGAAGGCACTGGGCAAGGGAGCAGAGGGCATCCTGCTGGGACCATGGCAAAGAGTCTCCTAATAGCCTGGTTATAGACGGCTACCTTGAGTGATTCAGCTACTTAGGATAAATCCACATAGTTTGGGGGCCAAATGGGGATGTGCTGTTTCTGTCCCAGAACAGCTAAGGAAAACATTTATTGATGAAGTGCTACTTAGACTCACACAAGTTATTCATCAGGAAATCATGTGCAAATGTGATACTTTTGGCCAGACACTAAATTGCTTGGAATTCTTATAGCTCCCACAGGTAAATACTCTTAACACAGCCAATAAGGGGAAAAGTAGATCTACAAATGATTTCAAGGTTTTTGACACAGGTAACCATTTTATACAGAGACACAAAAGGATATTAAAAAGTCTCTGAAATGCAAAATTGAATGTCTCTAGGTAATCTCAAAATAAATATACCTGACATTTTAATTTATGAAATTATGGCTCCAATGTAGACTTAAACTAGCAGAGAAATGGTAATGTTGACCTGACTTTCTCCCTACCATTTTCCAAGGATAGAATGTCTGTGCTGTTGAAAAAAATTGATGAGCTCATTAATATTGAAACAGGTCAATGGACTGTAGCTTATTATTTATCCAGCACTGTGAGCTCAGATCCTGGCAAATAAGACAAGGGAGTTGATATTGAAATAGTCGGCTTTAACTTGCATACACTTCAACTTGTAAAAGTTCACACACACACACACACACACACACACACACACACACACACACTTCTTCTGGAATTTTATAACACAATTTTTTAAAATTAAAGATTACACTACATTTTTTTTTCACTCATCAACCTTCCAACTTCTTCTGTCCACCTAGCTCATGAGTCTGCCTACATTCTCCCACCCAAGTAATGATCAAGCGGACCTGCTTAGCTCCTGAGATCTTGCATGTTCAGGATGGTATGGCTGTAGACCACAATTTAATTCTAAATGAAGTGCCACACTGCTTTTCAGCCCCCTACTGACAAGTACCTACATTCTGTATTTTGCTACCATGATGATCAGGTTGTTCAACTTCTTAGCTGCTTCTTCAGTAGAGAGGTGCTACTCAGTTCATTTCTTTCCGCAGGCTATCTTGCCTGATTGTGAGCTTGACCCTTGAACTTCTGCCTAACTGTTGCAAAGGGGGTTGAAGTTCCTGGGCCAGTTCTCCTTTCTGTCTTTACTCTCCACCCCTTAACTGCAGTTCATCTTGCTTCTGAGTCAGAGTCCCTTCGGTGGACAGCTCTGCCGACTCCCCCACCCTCTTTTAGCTCCCCTTTCTCCTTAGAGATACACATTTATTTTTGCACTTGCTGTCTTGATATAGATACCCCTTCCTCCACTGGCCAGGAGTGGCTTTAAAATCTTGCAAGAAAAAAGATTTTGCTTTTGATAATTTCCAATAATTAGAGGCAACGGTTTCCTAATGTCTGTGTGCTACAGTTCTTCTGAGTCCCTAACACCATAGTGATATTTCATTGACTTCTAAACCTGGTATATGGAAAAACTGAAATAAGAGAAGCAACTGTTTGGGAGAGAGGGTTTATCATTTGCAGGGGCTGTTACAAATTGATATAGATGGATAGTCTCTGGTAAAGCCAGGTGGGGCATAGGGAGGTAGAAATACATAGGTTTGACTTTCCAACACGTTAATGTACATGGCCTTAAACTGAAGAATGACTGACTTCACCCAAGTATAAAATACTGTGAGAATCCATTTCTATGTGGATTCTGTCGAGAATTTAGCACTAACTTGAAGAGAAAACCAAGGTGATCAGGGTGATGTTAAGGGCATAGCTGGCCCTTTGGTAGTTTGCAGGGGTTTCTGGGGCATCTGGGATCATGTTTCTCTCACCTGTTGGCATTTCCTAGGACTGTTGCCTGGGGAAGATGTGTCTGTGTCACCCTGGACTCAGCTTTAGGCTCAGTAAGGTGACATGAAGAAGCAATGTTGGAGACATTGAAATGCTGTGCTCAGTGGGTCTGACCCTTACATGATTATGTAATAATAGAGAAATGGAGGGTGGGTTCCCAGGGCCATGTATCCAGATGCCCCCCTCCCTAAAGAGTTCTGCTAGGAGAGTGGGCAGGGGGAGACAAAAGCACTAGTCTAGAAAGATGTGTCCAATAGCAAGGGGAGGAAAATGGAGCTGAGTGGAAAGGAGCAGACCAGTAACAAGGGGTTGCATTGGAAGAGAGAGAATTTTCAGCATCACACAGGAGGGCCACTCTCCATCGTCAGATTTGTAGAACACCCATATCTATTTCATTTCACATGATCCATGGGCCATGGCAGTCACTCTTCTCTTCAGTTCCATATCCACACGTTTAGAATTTAAGACCATGGAAAACAAAGGTGCCTGGAAGTCCCCTAGGTTACCTGGGGCATTGGGGGAGAACTGACTTCAGAGTGACATCTATAAGACAGTCATATCAGAAAGGCCACTAGGCTATAGTTTCAAGAGAGGCACCCAGGATTCACTGAAGGGGCATTCTTGGTAATAGATGTGTTTCCAGTTTGAAATCTTTGTTGAAGATGCTTTTCTGGGGCTCTGTTTACGTACGTACGCACACACACACACACACACACACACACACACACACACACACACACACACACACACACACTGCCCTTAACTGGCTAACAGGTTCTGAGTGGTAATTGGGAGTTAAATATTTTTTTTTCATTGTAGGAATTTGATGTACTTTGCAATCAATTACACTTAATTAAATTCCATTCCCATTACTTGTGTCTTAGGTTTGGAGTGGCAGGAGGTTTGATCCTTGTTTCATTGGTGGAAAAGCTGAGAAATCCTTTGCTGCAGGCCACACAGAAGGCGGCTGCGGGCTGGGACCGCATCCAGCTTCTATCTTTACTGCCTGTTGCCTGGTGATTCTGTCCCACTGTCAAGAAACTTGGGACCCAGGAGGCTTGTAGACCTGGCTTCACCATCTTCTCTCTCATTTGCATTGCTTCCTGTGAGTGAGAGGCTGAACAGGAGCCTTTGTAAAGGGACGACTTGCTATCCATTTGTGGAAGGCAGCATTGGCGTATACTCTGAGTCGGTTTTAAAGAGGGCGAGAGCAGAGGCAGCCAAGTTGTTCTTAAAAAGGGGCCATTTGAAAATGGAAAGCACTGGTCACTGTTCATGTCCCCAGTAAACTATAGCTGTTAGAAAAGTGTTGCTGTCCAGAGTAATATTTTTAAGATTGTGCATGTTATCTCACTCATGTGGGTTACCCTAAAAAAAAAAAATCAGTCCTCAGACATAACCTAAGTAGAAAGCTTTAAGGATTATGTGTTCGAGGCTCTGGGAAGATGGCTGGGCCGATCGTGTTTGCAAGCATAAGGACCTGAGTTTGGATCTCTACCTGGGTATAGCGCCACAAGACTGTAAGCTCAGTCACGGAGGATGGTCAGACAGACGACTCCTGGGAGCTCACTGACAGTCACTCTACCAAAAGAAGGAGCTTTGTGTTCAGTGAGAGACTCTGATTCAAAACATATAGTGAGAGCGATTAAGACATTCTGATGTCAACCAGACACACACCTATGTCCTCCTCCCCTGGTATTATCTGCTAGAGATCATGCTTAAATCCCATTATCTATAAAGTTTCTACATAGTAGTTTGTATTTATGTTTTCATAAATATTATCATGTTTGAAGGAACACATTTTAAGATTTGAGGCTACATAAAATGTGTATTTTCTATAAGCTCATATTGTCCAAAAACAAATATGGTCATTGCAATTTTTTACTTGATTAATTTGTGTGTGTGTGTGGGTGCGCGCGCGCGTAAATATGCATCATGCAAACAACCCATTGTAAGTATAGAGGTCAGAGGACAACTTGCTGGAGTCAAATCTATCTTTCTACCATGTGGGGCCTGAAGATCAAAATGATGTCATCATCGTGCCTCAGATTTTTTTTGGTATTTTTTGTTTTGTTTTGGTTTTTGGTTTTTAATCATGGAAGAGGTGATGAAGGAAGGAAGCATAACCTCCCCAATGGTGACTCTGCACTCCACATACGAATACCATTTTTAGTTTTTCACTTTTTTCCCTTTGCCCTCCTGTCTGTCATAAATGGAGCGGAGGGAGCAGAGTAATGAGGTGAGCTTGGTAATGCATGCTATTGACTCATAACCACTGGACCCACCCCCAGTCACCACCATATCACCACATCAACCCAACCACTAAAGAGTGGCAATGCTAAAAATCTCCAGCTAGGCACAGTGGCACTTGCTTATAGTTTCAGTGGCTCACTTCATGCCAGGGATTGGAGGCCAATGAGGACAACATGGCAAGACCCCCATCTCAAAAACAATGCTCAAAACAAAAACAAAATATCAACTCTCTCTCTCTCTCTCTCTCTCTCTCT